GTTCAATCACCCCATTCGCCCGACATAAAGCCGAGCGATTCCAATTGTTCTCGTCAGTCGAGAGTACTCTCCGACGGCAAACGCTACAATGTTTTGTCATTCGCCGAAATTGGCATCAACAGCAATTTACTCGCACTTGTTGAAAAATCGAAGGTACCAGAGGTCCAAAGGCTTTCGGGGCACTGGGAGCGGGTCATTGGTGAAGGAGGGATTTACTTAACTTGAAGCCAAAATATTACTTTTTATCTATCTTTGTTTTATTGGAAAAAAACCGACGGCACTTTTGAATGGGATGACCTAATACATGCGCACAAAGTAAGGTGACCTCGTTTGGGGGATCCGGTGACGGGGGTACATTTTGCACATTTGCTACTTCCCATCGACGTATCGATCCATATAGAGAGCCATTTCGTGAGCTCACAAGAGTTGACAGGTTTTATCATGGTGGCTCAACGAGCTTCCTCTAGCTTCACAAGAGTTTAGAGGTTTCACGAGTGAGACTTGTAAACGAACTGTGAAGAGGAAAAGTGCGCTTCCCCCCTCCTCTCCCCGTTATCAAGTGCACCCACATTTAATTCGTTCTGCAGCGATGCTGTTCACGGCACCAGTAGTTTTTATGTAGAGCGCCGCTACGTCATTAGCCGGTTCACTAAGGCCTCCGTTTAGCTAGAGTCAGCCTCACAGTGCATGCATGAAATGGCGGCTTTGGGGGAATGTGGACCTCTATAGTGGTACTTCCGCCTGCCATCGCTCCGTAATAGTTTGGCTAGCTGCCGTGGTAAGTCGCGGCAATATAGCTGTAAATATTGGTATTCGTTGATAATTATGTTTACTAGTACTTGCACCATTGTACTATCGATGCAACTCCTTATGGCTCTACCCTTGATTGGCTGATACTTGATAATGCAACATCATGTTAGCAATGATCATCACTTCAAGATAAACTACGAAATACAACCTTTTAGGAGTTTTTTTTAGCATCTTATACCTTTCAACAAATTTGTTCACTGTAATCGACTTCATGATAAGTAAATATATGAGCACACAACGAGGACATTATGCAGAGATACAGCATGTCCCTTTGAACAGCGTTAAAAGTCTTTTTTGCTGCCTGATAAATGATCACTGAAAACGCAAATAATGCTTAAACGCCACAGTTCATATTATAGTTTAGAAAGCTCACATTAAGATGGATAATCTGATGTTTTTAAGTGCCACCGTGTCTCGCTACCAACTCCAGACCATCTCCATCTACTCTAATGCAGTCGACAGCTTTACAACCACCAGCTCCTCCAGACATACGTCAAGTACAGCAAGGCTTCAGTCATATGGTAATTTCTAGTATCTGCGGAAGTTTCCTTCTACTCTACTATGAAGTGATGCAATTAGGGCGTTATTAAAGACAAACTGTACGCTCGCCTTTCACTTGTCCTTGCACTGTGCGAGGCGAATAGGTTCGCGGCTGCAGAAACGTGCCACTTTCTCCGCTCAGAGACAATTCCCGCACTTCGCCCAACCGCCAGTCGATACGTATCAAAAGCTTTTCGCCGAACCGCTGCGTTCCAGAGAAACGCTGGGCCGCAGACTGTGAACAATTCCTAACTTCTTCATAGCGCCGTTTTGAGGGACGAAAGTGGTATGTTCTTTGTGAACGCATATAACATTAAAAGGCATGGAGTCATTTTGAGGACCACTTGATCGCGGGGAGTGTCTTTGAAAGTACGCGGGAATGGGGGCTGCGTGGTAGTGGTAACTGAGCGTTGTCTTTATACTCCGCCCGCGCTATCGTCAAGGTGCGGCGCTGGCGTCCATGCCAAGTACCCGCAATAAAACACGTACTCAATGCTGGTGAACAAGTAGAAGCGAGAGTGCACAAAGAGGAAGCGTGACTGGCTAAGGCTAGGCCCCTCGCCGCTCGTGCGGCAGAGCGGAGTGGATTATGGAGTTGGCTTCGTGGTATCGTCACCCTCGAGCCCCTCCTAGTGCAATTTTGATAGCAGGAAGTGGAACGCTGCTGCGCTGCCCACACATACCGCAAGGGCCAAGATCCACGGGGGGGGGGGGTGAGTGTACAATTGCCTTTCAGTCCAGGATACAACCTTTGTCATCATCAGCAATTGAAAGTCAGTTACAGCACTATTATTAGGAGATCGTGGGGATCTCGGGAGCGTTTCATATTCGGTGGTTTGCAAAGAACTGTCTAACGTCTTTACAAACTTGAATCATAGCAGTACGATAATGAAAGTCTCATGCCATGCCTTAATGACACTGTCAGAGATCAGAACTGAAGAAGGGGTTAGGATTTTGTTGGGTACGGTTATCATCGTCGCGTATGAGCTGCTGTCGTAGTAGAATGCGAAAGCCCTCGCCTCAGAAGAACATTCAGTTGTTCGAATGGGGTTGACAATGGTGCTTTCCGGCGAAGCTTTCTATCGTAAAAAGTTCCCTGGTTCCCAAAATATTTTCATTCCTATTTTATATACCAAGCGCTGAGTTGTCTGTCTTTCTACGAAAGTCAACATAAACTGGAGAATGGCATGGAGAGTCAAGTTCAAACTGGGAATGGATGTAGGAATGGACTTATTAAAATGTATGAGGCGCACAGACTTACTAAGGTGTATGAAGCGCACAGACTCAGTAAAGACCCACCCACAGTGGGCGAGACATGCTCCGAAATGTTTTGCGCTCACATCAAAAATTCGTAATTTGCTTTTAAAAGATCGTTTAATTAATGTTTTCAGAGTATGAACTCTCAGTCAACGATGCCGCAGCCAGCTATGCCACAGCCAGCTATGCCACAGCCAATGAACCCAGCCTGGGGTGGATCACATCCTGGTGCACATCCTGGTGGATCACATCCGCTAGATCCGCGGATTGCAGCTCCAGTGCATCATGCACCAGATTTAATCGATTTAACTTCTGAAAGGAATGTTCTGCAGTTGGGATTCGAGGATAACGAATATGTACTTCCTCATAATATGGCGAACAACTCCGCAAGGGTAGATCCAAGGTTGGTAGGAGTTTTTGGATGACGTTCCTGAATTTCTTTTCACGTTTTGTTTGATGACTTCAATGCAGTAGGTGGAGCTGTGCCGTCGACTTAGGAATGGGATTTTTGCTGTCTGGATTTTCCATTAATAGCAGGATGAAACTAAAAAAAACTTAAAACTCAACTGTATTATATCCTTACTTAATTCGATTTGGTTTGAAAAGTGGTGTCCGACTCGATTTGAAAGGTGTCTGATTCGATCTGAAAAGTGTCCGACTTGGTTTGGAAAGTGTCCGATTCAAAACGAAATTTGTTTATCACTGAATTTTTCTAGTGTATTCCGCTGTACGCTGACAATGGTGCCTCAAACTGAAGAATTATTGAAGAAGAGTCGTTTGCCTCTCGGTCTCACCCTTCACCCTTTTCGTGATATGAAGGTGATTTTAGCGTCTTTTCGCGGTGATAACTGTTTGAGTAGTTATCCCCGTGGAATATAATTTTTTTTCTAGAACTTAAATATAATCCAAACATCAACTATTGTCCGTTGTCGTTATTGCCGAACTTACATAAATCCATATGTTTACCTACCAGACTCACGACATTGGAAATGCAATCTGTGCAATCGAAACAATGACCGTATGTTTCTATTTTTTGAAAGATTAGCTTCTATGTCAGTCTGTCTTCTCATTTTCTATTAGCTTTGATGTCAAATTGATTATGCCTGCGTCAATTCCATATTTTCAGTCCCAGATGATTTCTGTTGGGATCCGAACACGAAATCATTCGGAGATCCTGTGAACCGACCTGAAATAAAACATCCAACTGTGGAGTTCATCGCGCCAAATGAGTACATGGTAATTAGCTACTGATTAATGTTTTGTGGTAAAACAACGGGATACAACAAAATGGCTTGAAATATGCTTTCTTATTTGAATAATTCCGTACAGAATTAACCAGTCGTTCTAGAAATTCATGCAGATTCTCATAAAAGTTGTTATCAGAGGTTCAAAAATATTCGGTGTTTGCTTTTCAATAACGTACTTCTCCCTACATCTTTTTGACATTTCTATGTGTTTCATCGCTTGTTGCTGTCGGTAATATATGTCTATGAATTTATGTAGCTAGAAAAACAACTGCTCCAAATTTTTTTGAAGGGCTAAATTGAGCACAGATTGCTGGCAGGCTGCGTTTATACTCCGCGTGAAAGTACGCATGTACGGCAGCGTTTCGAACGTGCGCCAGCGCCAGCGACTGGGGAAGTGCAGGTATCGATCTAGCCCACGTACAGCAGAGTTTAGCGACTAGGAAAGTACGGATACGCCAGCGGACACTTTTGTTCAAGCTCAAACTGCCAGCGAAAACGCTGGAGTACACCGCCATGCGCTGGCGTACGATAGATATACTTTCCTACTGACACTTTCGCGCACGCTAGCTACGAGTGTACGAAGCGCACGCTGACGCAGAGTATGAATGCGGCCTCAGGATGACTCTGCGAAGGAACTATCATAATCTCTGAGTCGTCATCAACGAGCACCTAGAGAGAAGAGATTTTGGTTGTATTCGGCGACAGGGGGGAAGAGGATGGAGCTTTTCTCACTAGTTCCGGTTGCGCTTTTCACTTTGGTGAACCTGTGAACGTTGGTGAACCTGGAGACACCATGACCTAAGGTCTTTGTATGTATATTTCTTTACGGAGTTGGCAGATCATTCCGCGGCTTCCCAGAATTCCACAGGTCTGGATGGCTTGGCGCAGTGATGGCAAGTAGCAAAAGTGCGAAATGCAATTACCTCACTCCCACCCCCCCCCCCCTGTAACCGAACTGCTCCCACTTTTTTTTTCTATTCTCCAAATAAAAAAGTCCGATAATTTGTTTCCGTATGAACTTTTTTCATTGCAGCTACGGCCACCGCAGCCTGCTGTCTACGTGTTTGTTTTGGATGTGAGTGCGGCCGCTGTTGAAGCAGGTATGATCGAATTTATTAAATAAAATGAAAGGGATTGTGAAAGTAAAGGCTTGTGGGTGTTATTTTGCATTGGGAGAATGAATGGGTACAGGCTGGCTGCCCTATTACTTTTATCGTTCGTCAGTATGGAATGTGCGAGGGCAGGTAGCGTAAGATGTCTGAGGGCATTGCTTTCCCATCGTCGTACCATTCTTTATCACTTATTCTCACGTTCTGTCACCTTATATATACTAATTCGCTGCGTATAAAGGGGCGTGCCGGGTAGTATGAGTATACCAAACCAGTTCTTTGCCAGTTATTGAAGCGGGTATGCGACAACAATTGGTAGAAAAGCGAGTGATACGAACGATATGATACGGTCTTGTCACTTGATCGCTTTAAAACTGGTAAAGAACGTGAAGCGAACAACACTATATAGGTTTCCCTTCCAAACTTCATAGCAGAATCTGGTAATACGTGCCTCGTAACGTACTTATCAGCTACCATCAGCTACTCAATTTCTGTTACACATCATCAGTGTCCCAATATCGCTCCTGCTGTACCACTTGTTGAAGTCATTATCAAACGTCACTGCCGCGCATTATGAAGTTCATCACAAGCCCACGGAACGGCGGATACCCACACCACTCAACGATTTAGATATTCTAGGATCACAGTATTTATTTACTGTTCTTTGAAATAGTCTCATTTTGCTAGTACTGAAGACCAACGCTGCTTTGCTCTCCCACGATTTTTTTTCAATAAGGCTGAATCCCATTATGAATATCACCGTTTATTGGTTCCCTTTTCTGACTCGAGCTACTTTACTAGCTTTTAATAACTTTCCATTCAGGTTATATTTACACGTTTTCTGAGCAGCTTCTGATAAATCTTGATCAACTTCCTGGAGATGACAGAACACAGGTTTGAATCCCTTTCACAATTTAGTAATGTTTTTTTCAGAGCTTCTGCTTGTACTAGGTATTTTAGGTAGCATTTGTTTGCGTTGATTCTATGGTTCATTTCTACCAGTTTTCGTCTGGATCGCGACGCCTTCCTAAGGAACTGATTGTTGATGAAGTTGATGGTACGTTTCCAGCTGACGGAATCATTCGAAAAGACTCACCGTTTTTTAGAGATGTTCCTTCCGTCGCATCAGGGTATTTTGATCCCTCTAAAGAAAAACGCTGACGTGAGTCATATGTTTGCGCATTTTTTCATGAACTTTTTGACTCATCTTTTAAAAGAGTGCAAGAAGGAACTGGGAGAGTGTTGAATAGTGAGAGTACATGTTCGAAGTGCAACATATTTCGTGAGAAGTGCTGAAACTGACTTGCTGAAAGAAGTCCTCGGTATGGTCATGATCCTAGTCACCTTTCGTACGGATTGACTCCTAAACTATTTCCCCTGTATAAGCAACATCGTCCGCCGTTCTTTTTCTGGAGAACGTGCTCGAATTTCTTTAGTTCACGTCTCAAAAAAGGTGTCAAGCGCTCGCAATTTCAATACTTTCTTTCCTTGGCCCATTTACTGCGAACGTTAAAGAACCCGTTGCTCTCCTTACATGGTCTGATTTTCTAGCAAGCTCTTCAGAAAATGTTTTGGTTCATTCTGGCGGCTTTCCTACAACTACTGGTTTTCAGTTTATCTTGCTTTCTCACGGTATAGTACATTGAAAGGAATAGTTCAGGCTGTTCGTGCATTTGTGGAAAAGCTTCCAATTCTTTTCGAACATGCTAGCAGCTCTTCAAATTGCCTGGGATCTGCGTTGAAGATTGTGCACGAATTGATAGTAAGTATTTCTGCTGTCTAAAACATTGAGTATCGTTTGAGTTAGTGAGAGTGTCGATGAGAGTCATGCATGATATAGTTTCGTGGCACTTTCATGCTATTTTCAACCAGTAAAGTGGAAGAAGCTGGAGAGACCTTAATTACTCCCAAGTTCTTCTGTCACAGTTAGTTCCTCGCAGTACGCCTGAAGTCTTGATGAGATTTGGCAAGAGCAAGAGAGCGATGAAAAGCTAGGCAACAAACACGCCTCGTCAGGTACCTAGCTTAGCTGATGATCATTGTCCTTGCTCTCCGACGCTCAGTAGTTGGTGATTTTATAGTTGCAAGATTGGCCGGCATGGCGGAGAGAGAGACAAAGCGAGGAATCACGAATGCACGTATTAATATCGATTTAATACGAAATGGCGATGGAATTGAGTAAAAGCCGACTAGACGATACTCGAGTCGCGTGATATACTCGGTGAAGCAGGAGAAACTGAAAGTCGACACGAGTCGACCATTGTCAGCTTATCGTCGTCAAGAAAACTGTCCCGGGAAATCCTTAGATGTTGATACCATAGGTCGTATTTCAAGCAGATCGTAGACCTAAACAACTATCTTCAAGCCAACTGTCGACTGTTCCTCCGACCGACCCTCGGGCAGGTTGCGGAACAATGAGTTTGAAAACAAGAACGAACGTTCAATATTATACCTACCACCTCGAAAATGGTTTATTATATTCTGCCGAACGCAGGTGTTTGTAGAGGTCAGAAGACCGGTTGTATTTGCTCCGGGACGGTTTCGACCTGAATTCTCGTCCCTTAAGTTCAGACCGAGGGCGTGGCCGCACGGTGGAACCTCGGCCTCTGAAGCAATGAACGAAAGCGGTACGAAAGCTCGGCCCGAATGAAAACGGGTTCTACTGCTAAAAACCGTTCGATTTGGCACCACAAACTAACGAACCATTCGACTTTGTGAGGATACCATATTGATCAAGTTTTTCGTTGGTCCAAACTCATATTCCACTCGAGGTCGTCGGAGAACAGTCGTCTTCTGAAGTATGGAGCGTCCGAGCGGTGGGCTTGAGATACGACAACGTGTGATCACCAATCGCCTAGGATGTTGCGCGGGAACGTTATTTCCTTTGACCGGAGGATAGACTTGAATGGTCGACTAACCTATGGGTAATTGAGACAAAGGAAGCTGGCGATGACTCTCCAGCAAGCAGCACAAAAGACGTTTTAGAAGAAGAGCGATACATCAGGAGACAGGCTTCTCGGACAAAACTCATCCCAAAACCCTACGCAGAAGGACAGATCGCGACAAAGATTTGGTAGGTTTTCGGCATCTACACAAGGAAAACCTGTTGCTACGCTGCACGCGTCTCTCAAGAAGACGTCACCCTCAAGACTCTCGTCTGCGACGTGCACTGACTGGCCTATACCGACAAGGAAGAAAAGTTGCCTCAAGGGACGATCCTCAAGAACAACGATGCTCTGGACCGACTTTCGCTGTCGCTTTTATACGCTGCAGCCAAAAGGAGCCGTGATACAAGACTAGAAGATGAACGCATGTATTCACGCGCGCTGCGCCGTTCTTCGAGAACTCGTTACGCACAAATATGGATCAAAAAACCACCTCTATTTGGTGTCTGGCTGCGATAACAAGGAATAAGAGTATAGCGTGATTAGTAAGAAAGTGATTCTGCTGGGAACTAAGTTCCTCTAGGAGTCTAACGCAGGCTCCAACGCACTTAAGGTCTAGTTTCGACGAACCTGTTTTTTTACAACTGACGTAATAATCTTCGGACTGAGAGAAAATCTGCTGTGAAGGGGGCTTTCAAGGGTTTTTTTTGTGCAAAATTTTGTTCACCATTCCTACTACTCCTTTTGCGCCAAGGAACTGGGGAAAGGAACCACAGTGGATGAGCTCCTTCCATTCCAGAGGACACTGTAGGCAAAACCTACATTTTCCACATTGTCCCTTCGTGCCTCCGTGTTGTCGCCCACGCTTCTCACGATCATGGAGTCCGTGCAAAGTGAACCGTCCCTGCTTGACGGCGCATGGTTTCCCTTCGTCGGTGCAGGACTGAGTAAAGACCAGTCGTGAACATGCGCTACAACGGTTTTGCTCTCGCTCCGCGGCGATGAGGTGCCTTGCCTGAAAATCGGTGATCAAGACGCGCTTAGACTTTTCCGATTTGCTATTTGGAAAGCGTGAAAGCGTATCTGCCAACCTTTAGATTTTAGTTGCATCAAGGCCGTGCTGCTTGCATGAGGTTCTTTCTAATACTAACTATTACATTCACAGTGACCAATTATGGATTTTTCTTATCATACTGACCGTTCTTTACGAGGGGCGAGGAATAAGGGACGGACGATATAATCTAATGCCTTTCAACGCGTCGATCTCCTTATATATCTGGATCTGCTTAAGTTTGGAATATTTCCACCTGCGCGTGAAGATTCCGGAAACAGAGGAGGCGAGCGAAATGTATGTTGGAAGGTATATTATATTTGTTTGTTGTAGAAGACAGCCTTGTTATTTTCCCCGGTCTGTTTGTGACCGCATGTGGATGTGACGGGTTTGAAGAAAAAAAACCGGATGCATGAAGAAAAAATGGTGAAACTTTAAAGTTAGAGTCCTATGAGGTTCCAAACAGTGAGAACATCGGTCAGGGTCCTAGATCTGTGCACCGGAGTGCTTGCTCTGATCGCGCTTCGGAAGAAATTCCGGGATGGCGTGTGTTTAGGATTGTTCAATTAATCTCGGAACGCAGTGAGACCGGATTTACTTGATACAAGTGGTCTTGCTTGGGATACTGTTACCAGGACATAAGTATGCTCTTGACCTCTTGTCTGTGCTCAATCGCCTTCGCCAGACCGTCTCTGACCTTGGGGTCAACGCCTTGTCTGTGTAATTCCTGTTCCTGGTTGTAAACATTTTTAAGAATAGTAATTAGATGTGATTATTCGTTCGCATAGTGTTCGTGATTAACTATTTAAGCGGAAAAATGTCCAGAGTGTCTCGAGCGTGTGTCCGTGTGTACCTGACTTGTCCGAAGCCTACCCATGGTGTCTCAAGCAGATACTCTGTATACACGCTGTGTCGGGGCATACTTATTACGCGTTTGCTTAAGCCGTTTGGTTTGTCCTTCTATGTCCGTGCGTCTACTACGCGCGTAGCTGATCTTGGCAAGGACGACTGCTGCTACTTCTCAAACGCCTTCGTATAGTCTGCTTGTGGCGGAGGACTTATCCGAGCGCACGGCTCTCGCCAATAGATTGAGTGTTCAAGGCACGTGCCTATGTGGCGCATTGGTAGTACTGCCTGCAAGCAGGGAGGATGCAATACTTCCGCAGCTAAAAAAATAAATGAAATAGGTGCCACCCGGTCGCGACAAAACAATGGCTCCGCCCACTTACCACGGCGGCGCCCAGCTCCCATTTTCAACTGATACCTGATGGTGCATTTGTTCCGCTACTGACTCTCCATTTCGTGCGGTGGGAATGAGGTTATAGGGAAAAAGAGCTGGCATTAGCAAGTGCGGACTAGTAACACCACGCCCTTCCATTGCCTTATGCACGACGAGCGCGGTTCCGCACAGGCTGTGTTCATACTTCGCGGCAGCGTACCAGCTACCGATAGCGTCCACCAGCGTTCCGAGCGTCCTGCAGCGTCCAGCGACTAGGAAAGTGTAAATATCGATTTTGCGTCTGCCAGCGTCTACTAGCGACTGGCAGCACCGCTGGTGGAGAGTATGGGGCGTTGGGAGAGTAGCACACAGCTGGTAGGTACCCTTCTATGGCCTCTCTACCAGCAGTCTGCTACCTCTCTATCTCGGGGACTGGGAAAATGCAGGTATTGATCTAGCGTCTGCCAGCGATGCTAACAGACGCTGGCAAATTCCTTATCGATACCCATAGTTCCCTAACCCTCGAGACGCTGCTGGTTGCTGGTGGACCTGGCAGACACTGGCAGACGGTGGCGGACACTCTTGGTCACTGGTGGATGCTGCCACAAAGTGTGAACGCAGCCATAGGACGGATTCTATACGGAGCATTTCGGGCGGGTTTGTGGTGCTTTTTTTCTTAACTTCTGTGTTCTTTACCATCTTGTGACTAGTGTTTGAGCCGCTTCAATTGCTATTCTTGGGTGCAGAGCGTACCTGAAGTCGCAAGGAATCACCCTGAGTTGCTCTGCGATCAATTTGTCTCTGCTTGCTCTTTCCTTGCGAACGATATCAACTATGAGAAAGCCTCGTCAGCATGGGCGTAAAGGGGTCTAGAGCTAGCATTAAATTTCGATGTTTGCTTACCATAGCCCTTCATTCCTTTGTTCAGGTGAAGAGATTCGAGAAAATCCTCACGCGATATCTTACTCGAAAAATTGGATTTGAAGCAGTTCTGAGAATTCGTTGTTCAAGAGGTTGTTTGTTGAGTCTACCGATGCCTGATTAATGAGTGAACATAGGAGTGCTGAAAGGAATCGTTTCTAGGACTCAGTTTATCCGCGTTCTACGGTAATTTCTTCGTGCGATCTACTGACCTTCTTGCTCTCGCTAATGTCAATCCAGACTCAGCTATTGCTGTGCAGGTAGTTACTTGTGATCAGATCCTTTTTGGAGCAGTGTAATTTCTATTCGTAAAAGTTGTTTATTGAAGGTAAGCATGGAGGAAAAATTGTCGACGACTGTCTGTTTCCAAGCAGCTCTCCTTTATACGTCTAGCAAAGGTACGTTTGTTGCTATCTCTTCAACTTCGGAATCTAGAATCGTCGCTTCAGGAGATCGTCGCATTCGTGTTCATACCATGTGTCTACCTACAACTGCGGATTTGGCCCAAGTCTACAACAATTTTGACTTGAAGGCCACAGTGTCCCTCATAGCGAAAATTGGTGAGTTTTCAATACTTATTTGAGCACGTTGAAGTTTCACTTTTCGTTCTTCAGGAGTTGATCGATCCATGTCGGGATGCGCGCTAGCGGATTGCAGAGAGGCTATTGTAAATGCTGTCGTCGATTCGCTTGGTGCATATCAAAAGACAATGCGACAAGGCCGACCTGGTGGACTGCTGGCACCACGAAAGGGTCATTTGCGGCTGTTCCCTCTTTATGCACTCGCCATGCTGAAGCATGTGAGATAAGTTCTTCATTGAAGAAATCTGAGCAAACGTTGCGAGAATTATCAATCTTAATCCTAATCCTTATCCTTATTATCGTTAATCCTGGTGTACTGAAATGTAGAGCTACGTCATGCCCAAGAAACTTCTTACATTTGCCAAAAGTTTAAGACCTATCATAAATTTTTAGACTTGAGTCGACTCATTGTCATCCATGATTATTACAGTAATGTAGTAGTTCATCGGTATTAGGCAGCGTTTAGACTTCGCAATGACGCGCGTCATCGCGATATCGTTGCGATAGCGCTCCAGTGCAGTAGACTGAATGCAGCCATGGAGAGGTATTGATGGGCGCCCGCCGCTTATGTCTCAAGAGGGTTTAGGAGAACAGGTGATTGCCAGACTGTTCGCCAATGTTTTGAACAGTATATTAGATAAGGACAGATAGACAGATAAGGACATCAGCAGAATGTAAAGGGTTTTGTGAGAGCCCCGACCACTTCGACTATATCCCCCTCAGTACGTTAACCCCTTGCTGACCGTGGTCCACTT